GTTCCCTGGAGCGAACCGCGGGGCTGGCGGGACGGGGCAGCCCAGCGTCCGGAGGGAGGCAGGCCTTGAACGGGTGGGGCTGGCGTCCAGCTCCGGCCGGACGCGGGGTCGGCAAGGACCACCGGGCCGCAGCACCCGCCCGAGCCTCTTGGGCTTTCCACTTGTAGCCGGTGTTTCGGTCCGTGACACTTTGCCCGGCGTACAGGCCTCTAGGCGCAGCCTCGCCCACCTGTGCCCGGAGACCCTGGGGCCGTGTTCACCCTGGGCGAAGCGGGAGGGTCAGTCGGCTCCGACGCTTTCGCGGCACCCGGAACCCCAGGCTCGCGGCCGCAGTTTCCGGCCGGCGAAGGCGCTCAGCGGCCCGAGGCCACGGAAGCGGGCTCGGGAGGCCGGGCCGGGGCCGGACGGAGATGGCGCCGCCAGCGGGCGGCGCGGCCGCGGCTTCGGACCCGGGCTCGACTGCGGTGCTTCTGGCGGTGCACGCCGCGGTGCGGCCGCTGGGCGCGGGGCCGGAGGCCGAGGCGCAGCTGCGGAGGGCTGCAGCTGAGTGCGGACCCTGAGCGACCAGGGCGCTTCCGGCTGGAGCTGCTGGGCGCGGGGCCCGGTGCGGTGAGTGGAAGCGGCGGGGGCGCGCGGCCTGGCCGCGGAGCCTGAGGCCCGGCCCTTTGTTTGCCAGTCGCGTGCCCTTGAGCAATTAACTATTCTTTGCTTCTGTTTCTTCGGCTGTAAAATGGGGACAATGCTGGTACCTCCCTTCGTAGGGCTACTGTGAGGGTTTCGGCAGATAATACAAGTTAAGCGCTTAGGACAGTATAAGTGGTCTACACGTTACCTCGTTTTCCTTTGATCACCATGTCGTGTGTGCTGGGCAGAGACACTGAACCTAGACTCTCCCTCCTCAGGTCAGTTTGGAGTGGCCCCTGGAGACAGTCTCCTACACTGTCAGAGGCCCCAGCCAGCATGAGCTGCAGCCTCCACCAGGAGGGCCTGGGACTCTCAGCCTGCACTTCGCCAACCCTCAGGAAGCTGAGCGGTGGGCAGCCCTGGTCCGAGGTGCCACCGTGGAAGGACAGAATGGTCAGTTCCCTGGAGCGAAGATTCATTTGGTTGGCCAGGGACTGCATTAGTTCTAGGCGAGAAGAGGAGAAGCCCCAGTGGCTGGCCTGGATGGGGAAAGTAGTGGGGAAAGCTGGGCTCACCTTACCCACTGCTGGGGTTCTGGAAAGCCTTCCAGGAGGAAGAAAGGGGAGAAAAGGAACAGAGCTGGAGCCTGGAGTAGCAGACAAGTGTGGAGGGGCAGAGAAGCATGCCTTCGGGACCTGGGTGAGAAGACAGACTAGATCAACAGCAAGGGACAGGTATTCAGTGGGAGAGTAACAGGCTCAGGTTTGAACTACTTAAGACTAGTAGAGGCCTGCATTTGTGTGGGTGGTGCAGATAGGGCTGGAGGGAAGGATGTTTCCAGAGATGCTTGAGAGATGGAACAGGCTGGGTTTCATGGGGGTTTAAATGGAGGGGTTAGTGGTTGAGACAGAAAGCTGGAGGGACCAGATACTGTGGAGACCCCAGATAGAGGGCTTGTTTGGGAGGGCATGGAAGTGATCAAGTTCTGAAACACGTGGGAGGGAAGGGAGGTAGGTGGATCTGGGCTGGAGCTGGGACTCAAGAGATAAAGCTTGGGGGTAGAAATAGTCAACCAAGGTCACCCAAGAGAGAGAAGCAAGAATAGGGTCTGGGTCCAGCAGGCAGTGCCTCAGGGAAGAAGTCCACAGATGCATCAGAAGAAGAGCTGACAGAGGGGTGAGAAGAAAACCACACAGTGAGATGGAAGAGATCCAGACAGTAGCATCTGCAGAAGGAGAAAGGCTTTCTTCTTTAATTCATTCATTTGTTCGTTCACCAGATACATGTATTCAGCACCATACTAAGCCATCCTTTAAGACCTTAGAGATTTAGCATGAATAAAACTTCAAACCCCTGCTCTCTTGGAGCTTATATTTCTAGAGGGGAGACAGACATAAAATAAGTAACATAAAATTCTGCACATGGTGGAAGGGATGGGAATGCTGGAAAGGAGGGGTTTGCAATTTAAAATAGGGTGGTAGGAAAATCCTCTTTAAGGTGACATGAGTGAAATTTAAAGATCGTAGGGTAAACCATGTGGCCAGCGAGCAGCAGGTACATACAAAATGCCCAAGGCAGGAGTCTACATGTGGCCTTTGGGGCTCATCTCAGGCCAGTCCAGGCATGGTGCTGGGTGCTTGGGAGGTCTGCTTATCTCAGTCGGCAGACAGCTCAGACCTAAGACCACTAAGGAGCTGCATCAGCACCGTGTGGGCTGGG